TCATTTAAACCATAGGTCAATGGCTGAAGATTAGGGATGGGTATTGTTTGAAATGTATCGATTCCGGTTCTGCTTATCGATTCCGGTTCTTATCGATTCCCCGTTTCGATTCCGATTCTGCTTATCGATTCCGGTTCTTATCGATTCCCCGTTTCGATTGACCTCTTTCTTTTAAAATTTTGGAATCGAAACGGGGAATCGATAAGAACCGGAATCGATAAGCAGAATCGGAATCGATACATTTCAAACGATACCCATCCCTAATCTTCAGCCATTGACCTATGGTTTAAATGAGAGCTAAAGGGAATACATCAAATAAACACTTTACATCAGCTGTCATGTTTAAATGAGAACTGATAATCTAGGTGACAAACATCATATGACTCCCACTGACACTGAATTTGGTAAGTGAGAAAACTGGAGATGACTAAAATATTTTAAAAACCACACGCATAATTTACATTATACCATGTGGTCAACAGTCCTCAATGTGCTTTTCAAAACAGTTGATTCACTATGCAGTGGTGTAAAGCACATTTACACCACTGAACAGTAGAATTTTGAGGGACTTAAGCATTCCCATGTGTTGCTTCTTTGTACTTCTACCCCACTACAAAACATAGGAAGAGGTAAATAGAGCTTTAATAGTGTGCTTGTACTCCACTACATTTGTTCATTCCTCTAGTTAATTAGCAGATTTGGATTAATAATATTACATTTGAATCAACACTTGAATAAGACTTTAGTTACACCTGGAGTAAATCCACAAGCTACCTTGAACTATACAGTCATTCAAACTAGCTGCACCTTTACTATCTTTGATAAACACATTAATGCATCAATAATTATTATCAAAACACATGATATATATAATTCTGAAATGGGCCAATCTGCATAATGAGTATATTTTGATGCCAATACTTTTGTACTTGAGTAAGATTTTGAATGCAGGACTTTTACTTTTAGAAGGGTATTCCTGCTCTTTGTTAGTTGTACTTAAGTACAACATCTGAGTACTTCTTCCACCTCTGACTCTATTATGTTCATGGAGGTTACATCTCAGGGTTAACTGGGATAGCCAAGTGACGTTAGCTTCTTTAGCTCACTGTCTCACTAGATACCGTTATAAACAACATGTGGATTTCATTGTTTGACAAGCCACAGAGATGTATTTTCTTGGTGAGCAGCTGACAAAACCAGGTGGAGCCACAACACCACTTTTAATCTGAAAAGATTAACATTTTAAACGCAGTGTAAATGAAGGCGGCTCATGGTTAGCATCATGAATGACACAAGCCAGTCCGACCCTCTCTTTAACACCTAAAGAAAACGTATTTCTTGAGTTTAACTTATACAACTTCAAGTATTGCCACCGCTTTCCTACCGACTTATATGTAAAATAAGATTGTAAACGTCATCTTTGTGCTCACCTTGACCAATGATACCAAGCTTCCTCTCAAGGCGGACGCCATCGTTACAGTCACGCAGCAACTGAGCTTCTCTTCGGTGGTGCCGCACTGGTAGAGCTGCAGTCTGCACACGAGTCTGCCTCCAAGTGGACAGAGAAGATGTTGCTTCACGACATTTCTGCAGACCAGAAAGCAGTTGAAAACCGGTCCTTAATTTACATGGCTTTCACGGCCTTCAAGCATTAACATATGCTTCATGCTGAGATTAAAACGTGCAGACTTTCACTATTTATCCTATGATACAAAACAATTGATATTGAGCAACCAGTCTTGACAGTATATTGATTGTAATTTGACTGTTTTGATTAAATTAAAATATTATATTTGTACTTTTCTATATGTTATATATCTGTTCTTTGATCTGTTCTCTATGTTTTGTGTGATAGAGAGCCATGTTGATATATGTGAACCTGCCGAAGATTGCAGATAGAAATGAGCTATGAGCTCAACTCTGGCATTATCTTCTTTTCTCCTTTAGAGATGATTGCATTTTATGCATGGTCCTTGTTCAATAAAGACAATAAAAAAATATTAACACAGTCATATTACATAGCCAGTCATGGCCCAAAATCCCCACACCATGGACTAAAACAAAGACAACAGCTGAGCTTTGAGAAATGAAAAAAGTATTGAAATACCAACACAAAAAATAAGCTTCAAACCACTGGTGAACAGGAACAAAGTAATTTACATTTACTTAACTACTGTACAATTTCGAGGTATTTGTATACTACTTTATCTGAGTATTCCCATCTTCACAAAGACACACAGCTCAGCTATCTCCAACAGGAAAAGCATAATTACACATAAGCCGGAAATGTTGTCTGTAAACCCTGTGCTAATTCATTTATCTTTTGAAATGTTTTCACAGTAATTATGAGTTGTGAGATTTGCAAACTGAATACGAAGACAGATAGAAATGTTTGGTGAAGAAAAGGTGAATAATTAAGAGATGTGTCCTACATAGGAAAACCTGACACTGTTATGCAATACAAAAATGTTGCAGAAAATGTAAACAAAACTGTTCCCTTCATTTTAAATGATTCAGGAGGCCCAAAGCTAGAAACCCCCCCTGGAACATTGTCAGGATTATGTTTCTTCGTGTTTGTGTCAGAGCTTTTGTTGAGCTGAACTCAAGGGGGCTCAAAACGTAGTAATGACCCTGTCCACCTTTCTGTTAGGATGCACATGTTGCCAGTCACTTACAGATCGCAATGTGTTACCAACTGCGTATAATATATTAACATGTCTTATTACTGTCACATTATCTCTGCTGCTGCCACGGCCCCAGTCTGAGGGTCCATTCATAGGTTAGGGGATTCCCAAACCTATTCCAGGCAGGTGATGCTCTTCGGTGACACACAGGAGGACACCATGAAACTGTAGATCTGTAGGCTAACCTCAGACACTTAAATAATCCCCCTTACCTTATTGGGAATTCCAATTCATTATTTGTATAGCTATTTCTTTTTTGGGGCAAAGTGGGGCATATCATAATTGGTGGAAATTATGCCCTGAGCCAGGTCTCTCAGGCAGCCCCCCATTAGGAATACCCAGTGTCTTTTAGTAAATGTTTGTGTCTATCTAAATTATATTTGTACATACAGTATAAACACATTATAATAAGATGTTTAAAATAACATGTGAGGATTTACATTTCTTTAAATCTAGGATTTATGTCTTCACAAAGAAAATGAACTCTTAGCAGACCAATCATATTATAATATAAGCTACGCAAAAAAAGCAAAAACTGGTGTTAATTATCGGACACATCCACTTTGATTGGTGGAGCTTAATCAAAATTGCCTTGGAGCCTGAAAAGACCGTATTTAGGGATAAATCGTCGCAGTGACAGCAGCCGCAGCGTAGTTTGTGAGTTTACTATATAAGGGCAAAGCGAGGCACAGAGGAGCTGCACTCGCTTCCGTGTTTGTGTGATCAGGGAGTGCTCAGCCGGGGAGCTTCACTGTTTCATTCATTTGTGAAGAGCTACGTTAAGCAACTCACCAGCAGGGAAAATGCCGTATGAACTGAGTAAGTATGTTTTATATCAATGACAATAGCGGAGAGAAAATGCAAGAAATCTCTTTATTTTTGGTGACATTATTCAGCTGATCGAGCTAGACAGACAGGCAGCTAGCTAGCCTCGCCCATTAGCTGCATGATTTTGACACTTCATTTTGTGTACTAAAGAAAGACAAATTCCAGACATTACCACTTATTTGTTCACGTTAAACATACACACGTGTCTGATAATCAAGGTTTTGCTGTGGAGCTGCTCTGGCATAACATTGCAGCGTATTACATGCTGTTCCTTTCAGTTAGCTTTAGCTAGTGGAGCTAACGTCAGTGAGAGGAAATAGTTCTGCTGCTCATTGTTTTGACATGTCCAGACAGAGCTGGCTGACAGGATCTCTGCTGGGGAAGTGTCGGAAGCTCACATGAACAGGGTGTGTGGGTGCTCAATAAGCCTGAAGTTAACAGTTTTAGCTCTCATTTGTATGTCAAAATGGTGGAGATTATATTCCAGAAAACAGATTTTAAGGGAATGCGGAAGCACAATAAATGCACCTATTTTGTTACAGCTTTCCTAGTTTAGGTAGCGTTTTGGTGTGTTTGCCTACTGCTCATTTTCTTTTGTGTTGTATGTATGTATGTATGTATGTATGTATGTATGTATGTATGTATGTATGTCCTCACTAAGATAATTATAACAGTGACAAAGTGTACTTTTTTCTTTAGGATATAAGTGAATAACAAAAACGGTTCATATCCACACAACAAATCAACATTAACTACTCACTTTTCAATAATAATCTTGTCACAATATGATAATACCCCAAAAAGAGTCACAGTTTCAAATAATCTATTTTATGTCCTCCTTTTGTTCACACAGGCTAACATTGGTATATATTAATTATAGCATACTTACCATATTTTTTCACCTGTATTGAACATGAGGCTCAAGACATTACGTTTTTAAAATGATTAATGATCTGAATTTGAAGAACATTGTGATGGATGATTAACTCTGCTTACTCATATCCTATCTGAGAAGATATTAGTCTTGGTGCTGCAAGATTTTAGGCTCTATTAACTCATAAAGCCCTAGATGTACAATGTAATTACATTCCCGCAGATAATCCCTTATGGAATAGTAAAGCTTAATCCTATTTTTACATTTGTATTAACCTAATGCTTTACGTTATCTGTTGGACATCTTTCTCATCATGTCTTTTCTTTATAGAACATGTGTTCGCCAGTCTCCCACAGATGGAGAGGGGAGTCGCAAAAGTGATTGGTGGCGATCCCAAAGGCAATAACTTCCTGTATACCAACGGGAAGTGTGTCATCATCAGGAACATTGAAGTATGTTTATCTTTCTAAAAGCTTTATTTAACAAGTATTGCATGCTTGTGTGTTTTATTTTACAAATCTGGGCACTTTTATGGCCATTTTTGCCTAAAAGCATGATGAAAACATTTAAAAATACACGGTTTCATACAGGACACACAATTGGCACAGCTTCTTTCCAAATGAGGGTAAGATAAGCAAGAGCCAATCGTTTTTTGCACCACTCACGATCCAAAGATCATCTGTAAACTGTAATCCATTTGACCAGTGGACAGAATAGGTAATATGTTGACACTGTTTACATATAAAGAATGGTTTTGCTCTTAAACACTAAGTGCATAAGGTAATACCTGATGCCTCATTTGCCACCTGCCACCCATGGCACTATATATATCAGGCCACAATGGCACAGTCAATGGAGCATTGATTGTTGCACCTTTAACCACACCTTTGGGTGTTGTCAGGGTGTATTAAACAACAGCAAGGGGAGAGAACACTGGAGGTCAGAAAACATTACCTTGTATTCAGTTATTCTGAAGACTAACTAAGAGTTTTGGAAACAAGTTTATATTCTCATCAGTTTCTCATCAGTACTTTTTGATTAAGGGTTTAGATGAAAGCGTTTAACTGAGCAATTTTTAAAATGTGTGTGATCACTCACATTATGACAACTTGTTCCAACAAATACAATCTTAGGGTTGGCGTCAAGCTAAATTGCTGTATCCCTTTTTAAAAATCTCCCCAATTCATCTAATAAGAACAATATTATTAGAAGCAAGAGCAGTGATGGCTTAACTCTGAAAAGCATGTCCAGGTAAAATAAGTGCAACATCATTTTCTTTTGACTGTTTTAGAAGAACGGCCTCACGTGTTGCAGACTTGCTGATGTGTCTCATTTCCTGTTTTTACAGAACCCGGCCATAGCAGACATTTACACCGAACATGCACACACAGTTACTGTTGCCAAGTATGCTCCCAGCGGATACTACATTGCATCTGGAGGTAAACACTCAAGTCATTAACACATGTCAACAAATCTGTGTATATTGCTACCACATTAATGTGAATACTAAGGCTGCATGATGTATCTATAAATGTGATGATATCTACAACCCCCCTGACCCTGACTTCTTGTCATGTCATCACCATTCATATTTACACAATGAACGATTACATTATTTATAAGCGCACAGAACTGTTTGTAATAGCAAGCACTTGTTTATCTAACCTCTCAAAGTGCACCAGATTGATGCGATCTTCTTTAAAAGTCTTTATATCTGAATATTTCTCCATTTTCTATTGTAATATATTTTCTTTTATTTCAGTTTTTACAAAGTTGTGCAGCCTTATTTCTTTTTATACAATTATTTCATTTATTTTTTATTATTTTAGATGCATCAGGTAGGATCCGTATCTGGGACACCACCCAGAAGGAGCACCTGCTCAAGTACGAGTACACCCCGTTATCAGGCAAGGTCAAGGACATTGCATGGACCGAGGACAGCAAGAGGATCGCTGCTGTTGGGGACGGACGAGAGAAGTGAGTATGAGGATCTAATCTTATAATCTGAATCACACTGCATCTGTTGGCATGACGCGGCTGGTGAAGCTCAGTGAGGCATTGGTTGTGTGTCCAATTGTTGGCGTCACTGAAAAGTCACACTTGTATTGCATTAGTAATAGGCAATATAACAAGATGATTAAAATAAGTGTTATGATTTTATTAAAAGACCTAACGGAGAAGCTAATGTCTCACATGCCGTGTGCACATTGTGTTAGTTAACTAGAAGTCTTGTGGTCTTCAGGGGGACAAGAATAAACATGGTCAAGAATAACTGCAACAATAGAATGCAGCGATAACATAAAACCAGGAAACGAGTCAGCATTTTAGCACTTCTAGTTTTTATGTCTTGAAGTTTTTGGTTGGATATCTGAAATGAGTCTTTTTGCCAAGACAAATCAAGTAAATACCCCCGTCGAAAAAATGTGACGCACCTGCATATCTTTATAAAGGCCTTTGCAAACAAGTGGCTATGAGAGCACATTTTCATCGTCACGCTGAACGTCTGCCTTAAGCACATTCATGTAGTTATTTTAAAACCTTGAATTTACAGTAACAGTGTTGTTACATCGGGTGGGTTCTGCCTAGAAAAGCAATAGGATGTTCTATCCTAGTATTTCTTTATATGTTCAAGACAACAACGACAATTCTCACATCATTTTCCAGCTATCACACTGATTAATCAGTTGTTTTCTTTCCAAGTTAGAGTCCATTGCACATGCCAAGGTGTTGTTTTTATGGATTATTACAACCTGGAACAATAGTAAGCTATGTTTATCTCTTGTCGTAGATTCGGGTCTGTGTTCCTGTGGGACTCCGGCTCCTCAGTTGGAGAACTTTCTGGCCACGCCAAATTAATCAACAGCGTAGACATTAAGCAGACACGCCCTTACCGCCTCGCCTTGGCCAGTGACGACACCTGCGGGTCCTTCTTCGAGGGACCCCCCTTCAAGTTCAAGTTCACAATGCGCGTGAGTTTCAGAGATTAACAGTTGCTCTTTTTCCCCACTGAAGGCATTTAAAAAAAGAAAGAAAGAAATAGATTTTTTGCTAAATATATGAAAAGGCTTAATGTCTTTACCTGCAGGCTTAATAGTAAGTCATTCTTCTGTGACTTTGAACCAGCTGCCCTTTTTGTAAGGCCTGTTAGGCATCTCAAGTCTGTCACACCCTGCTGGTTTTTGACAGTACGGCCTTGTTTGTTTGTTTCCATATTACATAACCAACTTCCCCCATAAATTCTTGGAGAGTGTGAGCCTTGTTCTTAAAGGAGGCCTTCCCTCTGGAAACACTCAATACAATGTTGAGCACCAATTAAATCCTTTCCACTTAAAATGTCCTTCTGGTCTTTTTTTAGAGTTCAGTCTTGCAGTTGGTTTTCTTCATGGTACATTATGTAACGCTAACCTCAAACTGTAAAACATGTCATACCATAGATATGCAACGCAAAATGAAATCAAGGCCTTTCTTAACCCTGATGGTCTGAAAGGAGGAAGGTCCCGGTATTTCTGTCATTAGGTGACGAGAACGATAAATGCATGCATTTGTTCCCGTTCCCAGTTTTACTATGTTATGCCTTTTATTAACTATGATGACATAATGAAAGTCTAAAATTGTGCCAAATAATAAAATATATGATGTTAACGATCTACTTTACACAATTGTCTAATGCTCTTCCCGTCTCTCTCATGGTTATGGCTTTAGGAGCACAGCCAGTTTGTCAACTGTGTGCGTTTCTCTCCTGATGGGAATCGGTTCGTAACAGCTGGAGCCGATGGCCAGGTGAGTAATAGATTACTATGTGTGACCAAATGAAAGATTTTGCCAACATGATCTGTTTCTTCTGCTTTGATATTAACCGATCTTGGGATGTCTCAACCTAATTGGGGTGTTGATCTTAATAAAAAGGCATTCTAATGTCCTCCTAATTTCCACAGATGTTCCTCTATGATGGAAAAGATGGTAATCTCATTGGCACACTGGGAGGAGAGAAGGCCCACAAAGGAGGAATCTATGCTGTGAGTTGTTTTTTCTGTTTAGAAATGACACTTAATTATGTACTGGTTTGTTTTGCTGGATGGATTTAGTTGTTTTCAGGAGAGCTAGCTATACTCAAGTTTGGCAAATGTGCCTTTGGGCTTTTGCCAGGGCTAAGCTCGGACCGCTGCGGGGGTCCCAGGGATCCTATCCTGACACTTTTTATTAACCAATTGTTTTAGTCTGTGTTTTGATGCACAACCTATTCCTTTGTTTAAGTAGAAATAAAAATCAAATCAAATTGTTAACACATTACTTTCATTGTGAATAAGAAACTTGTCGGCACCCTGTCTGGCCCATGGGTCGTGAGTGAAGTACCACAGGCTTAGAGTGTGTCAACACAGACATTTCTTCTTTTCCTTCCTTCCTGGATTAAAGAAGCCTAATTTCGTCCTCAATTTACTGTTTTTTAAATTTTTTAAATACTTCTTCATTTTTCCACATGGTGATGCTGTTGTTAGGTGAAAATGTATAGGGCACTTGAAAACATTTTAATCTTTTTTTGCATTGATATCCTAACTTGTTCCCCCCCTCACCCTGCTTTAAATCCTTCAGATCAGCTGGAGCCCTGACAGCTCCCAGCTGATCTCCGCCTCAGGGGACAAGACGGTGAAATTGTGGGATGTCGGAGCGGGAACGGCCGTCACCACCTTCAACCTGGGCTCTGATGTGACCGACCAGCAGCTGGGCTGCCTATGGCAGAACGAGCACCTCCTCACCATCTCCCTGTCAGGGTACATCAACTACCTGGACAAGAACAACCCGGACCGGACCATCCGCACCGTCAAGGTCAGACTCTGTTCCTGGATATTATCATAAAACTTGAGTTGCTGAAAACCTGTTTATATTAGGAGTGAATAATCAGACTATGCAAGCATGTATATGTTTATTTGTGATGTATAGTTTGGCTTCTGCAAATCATACAGAGGTTTATCAAAATGTACCAATATATTACATAATCTTCCACTAGAGCAGAGACTAGAAGCTTCTGACTGGTTTACACATTTTATAGAAATGGTGAGATATGTTTCTTTAAACCCATCGCCTTTTTAAAATGTCAGCGTGGACTGACCCAGCCTTAAGACTAGATTTGATAAACTAAAGTGGATTAAGTGTCTTAAGTAGGACAGAAAATGCCTGTCACTGTAAATCAGGTTTTAACAGAAGCATCATGTGCTGTCAAATCTCTTTCCCAATGTCCAACATGTGTGGGTCGGGCTATTATTCTACTTTAACTGTTCTTATGTGCCATTTAAATAAAATGTACTTGCTCATCCTACAGGGTCACAGCAAATCCATCCAATGTGTGACGGTTCACAAAAAAGACGGGCGACCTCACATCTACTCTGGGAGTCACGATGGACACATCAATATCCTTTTCACACACTATGGCCAATAAGTAAAAAATAAATTAGAGCTCCTTTGGTAGCTATAGCAATTTTACTTTATGTTAATTGTTCATCATGTAAATGACATATTAAAAAAATATTATTAATCCCAGCTAACTACAGATATTTGCCTTTTTTAAGATGTTTTTTCCAAAAAGTTTGAAAAATGAAAAACTGAAATTCTATCCATGATTTTGAACAATTTGCAATGCTGATAGGTGATGTTTCAGAAAAGACTAGGCAGCTCTGGCAGCTAATAGTAATTTAGCACACGTTAAAGCAATGACTGTAATATTGAAGGTCTTGAAGCCCAAGAAATGTCTGTGAAATAGTGTTTTTTTGCTTAATAGGTGCAATGCATTTAAGAGAAGAAGCTCGGTGTGGCTATTGACCTGTGATGTATCAGTTTCTATCGTTTTCCCCTTAACCAATGCCTCACATTACTGGGATGCTGAAACTGGGGAGAACGACTGCTTCTCAGGGAAGGGCCACAGCAACCAGGTGAGCCAGATGGTGACCAACGATTCCAGCGAGCTGGTGACGTGCAGCATGGACGACACGCTGCGCTACACCAACATCAACAAGACGGAGTACAGGTACTAGGAGTCTTTGTACAGATAACAACTATGAGATAAGCTTAGTGGGGATTGTAATGATGACCTGTGTTTTGTCCGTTAATGCTAATGGGAGTAGGTCTTATTGCTTAGTGTTCTCACATGTAAAACATTAGATTAGATTAGATCAGGGGTGGGCAAACCTTTTGGCTCAAGGGCCAACGACTCCTAACACAATTTGTTTCTGACTGTTCAGCAGCTTGATTGACAGTGGAATAAAGGAAAAACTTATACCTGTTCAATTTATAATGTACTTGTACTGTTCAATTTACAGTTTGGTAATCTATAACTTCTGCCCTCGACCCCAAACTCTCTATACAGGATGTGTTTGGGGTCGCATGTGATTTTAAGGCCTTGCTTTCTCACCATCTCCTCAAATATCTTCTGAAGAGAGGATGGTGGAAGCATGCCAATTCTTTTTCCAGCCCTTTTGATCAAGCTCTGGAGTTGTGATCTAGATTTAACTGACAAGTTACCAAACCATGTTGTGATGCCATAACGAATAATAGACTCAATTGCTGCCCTGTAGAACATTAACATGACACATTTATCCACTCCATGAACCCTGAACCTACACAGAAAATGCAGGAGCTGGCTTATCTTTGAGCATACCTGATCCACCTGATGGGCCCAGCCTAACTGAGCATCAAAATAAATTCCCAAATATTTAAAACTTGTAACCTGCTCAACTCCCTCCCTGTTGATAAGGACTGGGCTGTGATCACCTACTGACTTGGGGTCAAAGATCAATTCCTTTGTTTTTTTAACATTTAACACCAGGTTGTGCGCCTCACACCACTTCACGACCTCTTCAATCTCAAGTTTATAAATAGAAATGTCTGAGTCTCTAGTCAGTAGACTAAGTGTGGCTGTGTCTTCAGAAAACGTTATAATGTGGTTGCGTGTGTGCTGACTCCTACACTCATTTGTATAGTGCAGGGGTCGGCAACCCCTGGCACGTAAATTGTATTTTCGGGTCCTGATCCTGAACGAGACCGCCGCCAGAGCGAGTCTCCCCGTTACCTGCAGAAGGAAGCCATGCACGCAACGCAGCCCCGCTCCCTTTATCTCCAGTTGACTTTCTGCCGCTTTCCTCCGTGGTGCAGTGCTGATCGTTTCACCACGGAGGNGTTTTGTCACAAATTATTCAAAAGATTATTTCCGCGGCACACCTTCATATGATCATTATAGTTATACAAACAATAAGAGAATAAATGAAAAACAGGTATGAAATACTATATGGCAGTAAAACAAGAATACAGTTTAATGTGATTTGTAAAATATCCATAAAGAAAAATAAAAGCTGCTTACAGTTCTGTTTCATCTGGGTGCTGAGAGAGGTATCCATAGATCTCTTCATGTTGCTCTCAAAGTGCACCAGATTGATGCTTTCAACTTCAATATTTAAAAAAAAATCTTCCCAGGCGAGCATCCCCCCGGACCCCCCTAGAGGAGGTGAGGTCCGCCCCCCAATAGCACTTTACCCCTGCCTATATACCGTGAGCTGATTATGGAGCCTTCATT